CAAAAAATATCTTTTACTGAAGCATATTGTTACGAGCACTGTGAAATCATGGAGTACAAAGCCTACTCATCTCACAGTGAAACAAACACGATGGTCGATCTTTACCGACTGATGAAGGTTATTGATTTAACAAATTAGATATAAAGAGTTCCACTTAAGTCATATTTATTTCATTCTAGACTTGTATAACTTTATCTGATTGTAGAAAAATTAATCCCGGGGAAACAGGAGGACGCAATAATTTTAATATAGGTACATATTTTTAATATTACATAAAATTAGAAGCGTTTCTAATTCAGTGAAACGTTGTGTATGTGTAGCGTAAATCGAGGTGAATCGGATCATTTTCTGTTTGATAGTAAACAAAATAATAGTCAAAGTTTTGAAAGCTAATTGTTTATTATAAATTCGTAATTAGTACGCATTTAACTTGATCATTGATAATAAATAGTAAAACAAACTTAATCTTTTGCAAACAAGAAACGAAAAAGTGACAAATATCCGATTCGCCCCCAAAAGTTGGGGGATAATCCGAGGATCTCTGAAAGAACTCAAAGTTTCATAAAAAAGATCTTTAAATTAACTTTAAAAAATATAATTTAATGATAATGAGGTCAATTGATTCTATTCGGCACATAGGTCGCAAGTAGGTATAGTGTCCTTCAATACTGTATCCAATCTTCTTTCATTTTTTCTGAACACCATGATCCATAATTGGTCCTTTCAATGTACTTACGGACCATCTGTATATAACGAATTATCACATTTATAATTATAAAAATATTCAAACGAAGAAAAGGAGTGATCCGATTCACCCCAAATGACGTGATCCGATTAGCCCCATACATAAGGATACATAGACGAATTATGATATGACAATCTGAAATATATGAAACACTAAATTTCGACACCGTACAAAATAATAATAAACACATTTGAATTCTCAAGCTTATCTTTTTATTTTAAATACGAAATGGCAGATTACGTGTCGTAGATTCGCACCAAAATTATAATGTTCACACGCATTCGTCTCAATGGCAACATGTGCCAGCACTGAACAACTACGTAAAACAATTGATGGGTTATTGGATTGGGTGTGGGGGACAAGGATGACGCAATATGAACAATCAAAATGCTGGTTTCCATAAGGATATAAGAAATATAGACTGAATTCTTATTTTCATCCGATTTGTCCTGTGATCCGATTAACCTCAGTCTACCCTATTAATTACATAGTATACACATGTTCGTATTGTTATAAAGAAAAAAGAAGGTACAAAAAACGTGGCTTTGAAACGATGATATTTAACGTCGGAACAGTAAACGCCATCTTTACGGAAGGCTGAATTGGGAAGTCGTCGAAGGCTGAGCCAAAAGATTAGGTAACCCTGATCCACAGTTCGGTTCTCGTCTCCTGATCCATTTTAGCCGAATGCGCCACTTGTCTAAGCGGCCAAAGGCGACGCCTTAATTCACATTCGGGGCTTACCACCTCCACGTCCACTATACTTTCCTATCAGTTTACTTATTAATTGAGATTATGTCGCGCAGGAGCTAATTGCCATAAAACGTAGAACGATTGATATTTCATGCCTACGATCGATATGTTGTTCCCGCCAAACTGAAAAATCGGTCTAGTCTCTTTTGATCCTTCTGCTAATCTTTCAATTCTGTTTACAGAATAAAAATGAGAAATATTATATTGAAGCTTGAAATTTAAAATATATGTCTATTCATTTATGGCAAAAACACGTTAAGTTATATTAACCTGTTTCTTACGTAAAATTACAGAAGACAATTACATATACTGCCGATGTCTATCAGGAATTAAATAGACACCAAAATAATTTTTTTATTGAATAAAGAAACAATTAGGTTTATGATAAACTTTGTTAATACATTTTCTTACCTCATACGGTTTTATAAAGTTGCATTTGTTGTAAACAGATAAATCTAATGATGACGCAATGTTGATAGTAACAATATGTAACATACGGATAGTAGTATAGAATTTGTTTAAATTGGAATTGATAAGATAAAATCAGTGAAACTATGCAGTAACCAGTGACACATGCTTTAATAAAATGAAATATATTTTACTTTACAAGGGAGGTACATATAATATATATGCCTGTGAAAAGACAAATTGATCAGATTCATAGTAATGTTATCAACGTTGCTTTTTACAATTCTATTATTAAATATAAGAAAAAAACGAATTACGCAATTAATTAAAATAAAATGTATAACTATAAATTGATTACAAGCACTAAAGATGAGAAATTTAGAAACGATAGAATTTGGCTTTTAATAAATTTATCGTACCGAACTGAAAATTTTATAAAAAAATAATGTCTCATGAATTCGTTTATAAACAAACCTCGTGATTCAATAGATAAAACTTTAGTAATACTTTATTATTATTATTGCTTTATAATTTATTAATATCCATATAGGTATGCAATGAAGTAAACTGAAACTTTTCTATTTTATACGTGTTGAGTTAAAAGTTCAATCAATACACTAATTTTTATAATAAGTCTATTCGAAAAACCATTCATACATTAAATACAAATTATTGTAAGAAATATTATAAATCAATACTTAAATAAATTGAAAAGGTTGTATACAGAAACAAGAAATAGGTACGTATGTACATAATAATTTGTTTATGAGTAAAACTATTTCACTAATTCACGCTTACTCATTTTAAATAAAAGAAAACAAACTTAGTTTACATTACATAACCAATAATTTATTTCAATCAGAGTATACATAACCTCAAAACGTGAAATTAGTACAATCACCTGTTAATCGTAAAATTTACTTGTGGAACTCTACTTGCTTTATTAAGAAGATCGGTAATTCGTAGCTTGCGACTTGTTAAAATTTCACTAACAATACAAATTATAAAATCGATCGTGCAAGTAGACACAGGACACTGAAGTCATTGAGGACAGTCCCAGTATGTATTCTGATGACGGCGTCCGCCTAAATTCACGATGGTTCGGGTCGGGCAAGGAACCCGGACGCACCCATCGACCTCCTGTTCTCCTAATAAAGTGATACAGTTTATTAGACTTCTTCAGATCGGAATGTGGCGCGAATGACACCGATTATCTCTTACGAGAGATACCCGGTTGCGCGACAGCAATTTCGCTCGAGTTCCTTTCATTCTACATTGTATACTTAACGTATATTTAATTGACTGGAAAGCATCGTGTGACACGCGTGAGGACGGACAAACGCGTGCTACCGTCTACACATGCATCCCTGCTGTCGGTTCACCTGACGGTGAGCGCCAATCGACCAACTATATTTTTATACTACGCTGATAGACTCACTATACCTGGTTGGCTAGTGCTGGTTTCCGACGTAAGAAAAAGAACACTGTCTGATTGAAGCTCGAATCGGATTCGATTATTTAGTTGGCGTTTTCCTGTTTTTTTTTTGCTGTATAGTGTGATAAAAATCCGGTTTGTACTCCCAGAGATTTTGAATCTTAGTAAAATGCTATTGTTATGCTGCGTAAATAGCAGGGCACGTGATATTTAGTATATGTAAGGTAAAAGTCCCAATGACTGGCCAGGTCCCATTACATGGCCACTGACGGGAATTTTATTTTTTATTAAGTTATATACATAAAATAAAAGATATATCTTTTTATATTTATATTATTTAACTATTTAATGTTTTATAAGAAATATTTTGCCACTTGACTTCTTGTTTAAAATATTAAGGAAATTGTTCAAATTCTTGATCTTACATGCAGTATGAGTCTCAACAGATTTGTTACTAATAACTAAGGAAAGTGTCGTATTTGTTAAGGTGATAATTACCATAATTTTAGATTTTTCCTCATAAGTAAAGTGTTTATAGAATTTTAAGACTATTTATAATTAGTGGAACATAATAAGTAATTTAATTAATTTGTTTTATCAATCAATTAAAATTTGTTGTGGCTATTTATTGATTATCGGACAAATCGCTGTCTCGAGTGTTTTATTTGTGCCTAGTAAGTACTATGCAGAAATTGTAATTTGCCAACGAATCAAATTAGTTGGACCACTTCCAATCACAAGAACTGTCATTACTGGCTGGGGGGGGGGGTGGGACCTATCAAGCGCATACATTATTGCCCCTCCACTTTTGTTGCCGAGGCTCGAGCTTCGGACAAAAAACAAATTTACAAGGGTCTGATCTTCAGACTCTGAAGCATTTCTCCCTATAAGATTATTGCCCCAGCGCGAACTCGAGTTTGAGACAATAATCGAGAGGAGTTTGTATATCTTTTTCTCTTATATTTTCTCTGCCACAGTTGTATTCATGAACTCATGGAACAATTTTTGGCATGAGCAACATTTGATCCAGATATGTTTCTTTGTGGTAGTAAAATACTTTTCCCAACACTTTACGCTCTACGCAATATTATATTTATAATTTACTATTATAATTTGATCATTATAGTTAAGCCAGCCACAGCACTTATCCCTTTTTTGGCGTCTCTCAATCATTTTGTGGGAGAAATGACACATGTCCAAAAAACGAACTAAAAATATATAACATTAAAAACACTGTGTTTACTAATTAATAAGGAACCATATTAAACAATAAAATAGATACGTACTAACTTTGTCCTGTCTCCGTTATGCTTGTAATAGCATTTGTGTTTAATGCTTTGTGGGTACGACACGTGCAGCCACAGCCAAGTAGCATTAACCTGTTGTTTTAGGCACACAAGTGAGGTTAGAAAAAGACGCAACATATGTAATTATCCCTTTGCAATTGGAAGATATTATTATCAAAGTGGGGCGTCTCTCCTGAACTTACCCTATCTTCATTCCTTGTAAAACTTTCTGATAAAACGAGCATGTGTTGTTATGAAAACTTTATATAAATAGAATTTACGTGCTACAAATTGTGGAATGACGATTAATGAAATATCAGTGACAGCTGTAAGGATGTAGGTGAACATGTTTCGTAAAACGTTAAACGCAGTAATGGTACCTAGCCATCAATTGCAGCAAAGTAATTATAGACAAATCGGTATGACACACTCATCCCATCCGACATCATGTGGAAATTAAATTGTAGTACAACAGTGACGTCAGTTTTCAAAGGTCTGCATCCACTCGACAACACGTGTCATTTACATAATTAGAACGATAAGCGGAGGCGTCTCCATTTCCTGTTCAGTAGCCATCTATTTTAGTCTCTTTCGTACAGTCGTACTTAATAGTACAAATTGAATATTGAGTGACATTTATGAGGAGACTGCGGATGCTACAAACTTATACAGATTGCATTGCAACGGAAAATGATTTAACACGTTGACAGTTCCAGCAGATTCCAAATGAATTAATAATGATCTAATATTCTACTTTAAAATCTATTAAAATCTAGAGAGTATTTCAACTTATAAATGTTAAAAAATTTAACAATAATACTTAGTAATTGCGGAAAAATAAATTTCATTTTAGTCATCGAGGTAATGAGTTACTATTTAACCCTGATATGTCCAAACTTTTTTTGTTGAAATATATTTTTTCCTTCACAACATTATTCTATTTAATATATCCTTTACAATATTTTATAAGGAATCACCTCAATTTTTAGTGTGCTTTGTATTGATTCTCAAGTAATATCTAGTCAGCAGCGCAACCTATCATTCAACTGCGCAGCTTGAAAATATTGGGGTATTTCTATATTTGGGGTAATTCTAGACTGTTTTTAATCAATTCATAAATATTCTATAACGTATATCTGATTTCTACACATCATTTCGTATAATATTTTTATACGAGATGAAAATCTCGGCTTGCGTGACTTCCTTGTCGTTCTGTGCAACCTGCCTAACTCGACGTCATAGGGACAGTTTCAGACGCCATCTTTGTGGTGCCTAAAACACCGCCGAGTTATCCTCTGGCGGTTCCTGCAAGCCTGGTATGCGTGTCAGCCAGACCCATTTTTTCTCGGCTCGCCGAAAATTATTATCCATACTACTGAACCGCCGACACTGGCCCTCAATCCCCACCAAACAGTTCATCTACAACAGTTGGGAACCTCGTTCTGCTTGTTGCTTTCCTATTACTAGGTGGTATTTAACTCGCCCATGGCAGGTCACCCCGATGAACCTGCTCGAACGTATCCGATCCCGGTCGCATCCTGTCTTTTGGTTTCTAGTCGCCTAATAAAAAAATAGCCGCATTATCGATCTCTGCCAATCGATTATATCGTCCAGCTTGAGCTAACGAACACGTGGGGACCTCTGGAAAGTCCATGCTGGCCTGGTCGGTGTTCCTGGTTAATATACATATCCAAAAAGATCGTCTCGAGTATTTATTGTACAGTGTGTACAAGGAATCATTGATACTAGACTGCGTGCGTTTATATACAAATAGGATTTTCAGAACTGATTTACGATGACCCAAATCAAATTTTTGTTATTAAGGGTTTTATCAGGTTAGGGGTAAAATAAGATCTATATTAAGTGTTAACCGGCCGACTAGCCGATTGATCGGACTCTGAGCTGTCAATTACATACACACATAGTCGGCCGACTAGGCTCTGCCGATCATTTTCAAAGACAATTTCAAATAAAAAGATTTAATTAATATGGCTCCGATTACTTTCTTTAGAAAAAAAGATTTAAAATTTATAATTCTTATATATTATGAACTCATAGAGAAAATTGTTTAACATTGTTTGTTATACTTACTTTATTACGTCCTGTTTCTACGTTTTAAAGAGTTTTTTTTGTTATAATAATATTAAGAAATAATGACCAATGTCCCTACTTAATTGGTATTTATTTAGTTGGTTTAAATAATTGCAAATACGTATGAGTATGCTACATATTAAAAATATTAAAATTATTAACTAAAATTATTGACTGTGGTCTGTTTATCGAAAAAGACCTCGGGGGTCACCCTGCCTCGGCGCGTGGCTCGGTGGAAATCCAACGCGAGCTGCGAATTTCGTGCGACGTTGTCACAGACTCAATGCCACTGTGTGTCCCTTTCCATCCTCGGGCACTTCGGCACGAGAGCCTCTCGCTCAGACGCTCGGTAAACCAACTTCCTTCTTTACCCTGGGATTTCCACGCGTAGCGTTTAATAACCTATGTATTACTTTAATCCCCTTTTAATATGTTGCTCAATATTTGATTTTTTTTTCAAAAGAAATGAACTTTTTCTTATTCATGTATTTTAACTCTTGACGTGTGAAAACGTTCAGCGTCTCGTTAACATTCTCCGCCACTTCCACACAATGGATGATTGACGGGCGCATGCCGAACGCAACCCCTATTACTTGAGATTGTAGATAAGTAGGTCCTTCTCGAGAGGTTTGTAATACGTGCGATGGAGATAGACGACCGTAGACGAGGACGCACGTCGACGGTCGAACGTCATTGGCCAAGACGTGAAGAGTGAGAGAAACACAAGCGCCGAAGACGTGTCGCGATCGCGACAACACCGCGAAAAGTCGGGCCTACCTCCCAGGGCTCATCTTTCGATAAACAGACCATAGTTTGCCACTACATACGTGTAGGTGTTGAGATCTTTTTTTTCGTAATTTCCTATACTTGTGTATCAATCTTATTATTGTAGGCTTTTTACTAAATTTTTATTTGTTCTTAATTAAAATAAGTTGATTTAAACAAAATTATTCTCTCGGTACTTGACAGAATCAGTTCATAGCACCGTCGACTGATTTTGTCGGTGATTAAAAGAATTCTGTCTGACGAATGTTATAGGATATACACAAAATTTATTTTTAAGGAATTCAAATTACTTGTAAAAAAGAAATTCAATACAAATTTACTCCTACATTATTGTTGCTTGTAAATTTATAAAGTTTGCATAATATGCACATAACACAGTAAAATAAATATCCTAATAAGAATTAATGAAATTAATATTTTATTTGTTACTTAATAAATCTTTCAATGGACGAAAGATAACTTTTTTTTGGATCTCATACTCGCTGGATATCTATGAGAATATAAATTTTCATAAAATATTCATCATTTAATGATAAAAGCGTGTCTAAACTGACAGTCAGACAATTTTTACAAATTTTATTCATATTTATAATTCTATCGTATATGGGCTTCGTGAATGAATATACATAAATATGTTTATACATCAAGTACACGTTTTAATTTAAATATGAAAATTATAAAGTAAAAGAAATTGATGATTACACTCCGGATAATTATACAAATTCTCATTTTCGAAGCAGACTATTTACCACAGCCCAGAATCAATGGAAGAAATGTGTACATCTATTAAAAAATTGATGAAATTACAAATAAAGTATAAATTTCTGATTTTATTTGTTAGCGTTCAATCTGTTGCGTTCTACACATTTTCATAAATGCATAAACGTACATACACAAACTACTGATTATTTATTTTACTTTTGTCGTAATAACTATTTTAATGCATAATATTCTTTTTTAATAACCTAAAAAAACTGTACTTTGCATAAACATCCACGATTTAACAATGATGACTATGGAAGAATCTAGAACCAGATAGTTTACTTTAAAATTTACAAAATGCTAAATAGGAACCAAAGACTCATCTGATTTTTGTAATCATTGAACTCTGCCCCAATAATAAAGAATGCACGTGCTGCTGCGAGTAGGTTTACTCGTAATCTAATAACGTGCACCATCCCAAGAAGGGCTGATCGAACCATAGAGAGTTCCACGTGTATCATGCTTGCCTGTTCTTAAAACCAACCAAATTTAGACCCTACAAAGGGAAAGACCTCGAAGGGAACCCATACCAATTGGTAAGGGACTTTCGGAGATACGTACATGTACCTTCGTTCCCATCTTCCAAGACACATTGGGAAAGCTGGCTGACCGGTCGTTGGTCGTCCATACCAGACCCAGTGACTTCTGTTCGCCTGGTCAGTGGTCAAACGAAAACATTTGTCAGCCGAAGATACTGCATAACTTATCTCCTCGAACCCTTTTGGCTAACCATGATCGAGGAACACTTTATTCATATACATATGTCAACAATGATATAAGAAATAGTAGTTTTACTTTCGTCTGATAAATTGCGTTGAACTTTCATGAATGAAAATTATTAACAGTCATCACCATTTATATATTAAACTAAAACCTATTCTGTACTTTTTAGGGTAAACTATCTGTTTCGAGCGTAAAGCTAATTAAATATTCCTTAGGGTAAATTAAAACTCATCAGGGATTGATATGAAAGGCGGCTACAATTGTTATTTATATTTGCAGTATTTATCTACTTCTAATAATTTAGATTTTTATTAATAATTGTACAAAGATAGTTATGTTTTGTATAACTAGCTGTGGATGTTAATGCAAATTTCCATTTTCATATACTATGTTACAAAATTCAAAATAACAGGAAAATTTGTATCGCCAATTACAGAAGTTATGCAAGTAAAAATAGAATAAAACCTGTAATATTTTCTGAGATCTTATTTCATTGAATTTTACACATTCGCGTTTATAACATTTTTTAATACGCTAGCAGGATAAAGTAGGTATTTCAGTAAAAAATTTACTTTATTTGTAACCTCAATATTTCAACTTCATCTTCTACCTTTATCTTTATGAATTACTCCATAAAAGTCTGAATCTGCATAAAAATTCGTAATTCTTTATTCATATTTTAATAATACGATTTAAATAAGATTTATACTTACAGGTTGCATATGTATTTTTACATAATATACGTATAATGAAAAAATTGTTACTCATTTCATATTTGAAACCAGTAAATCGTCTGCAAAAAAATTCTTTAGTAAAGATATTAGACATCCTCATCATTACGACCACATTGAAATTTTTATTGCAGAGTTTAAAAACGTAATCACGAATTATTACGCAATTAACGGTATAATTCTGATAATTTTCATCGATGTTCCCAGGTCACCAGTTGACGGTCTTCAACAGCCAATCGGTCATTGAAGTCGGCGGTCGATGGAACCGCAACAAGGGCAGAGTGGAGCGGCCATATTTGGGAGTAATTGCCGGTTTGGTTGTAAATGGTGCACGAATACTAGAACTCGCTGCCTCAAACGATGGAAGGGTCACTACCAGAGGGGATGTTCAATTGATGCCCGCCGGAAGTCTTCTGGATCGAGCGGCTCCTTTACAAAGAATGCAACAGGTGAACTAACGTATTCAGCATTATTATTAGGATGCAGATGTTCGTACAAAAGTAACATTTTAATATCTCTATTTACAAAACTAGAATTAAATCGGAATTAATTTTGTTTATTAGAAGCTTTATTTTACGAATTACAAATAAAATCAAGACCATGTTCCATTAGGATGAATCACAAATAATTTCTATGTTTCTTATATTCCTCTTACCTTATTAAGAATTCTATAAATAATTTTTATTTTTCTTTCATTCCACTTAGCTTATTAAAAATCCTATAAACAATTGCCATTTTTCTTTTCTTTCTAATATCCTGTTAAGAGTTCTATCCTTTATTCTAAATATGTACTTTATTGAACATTGTTAAATTTCGTACTGTATTGAGGTTAAGACAATCGTCAGTAACACAAAATCTCAATGTAGAACGTGAATGCAAAAATATTTTATGTATAAACCCATAAAATTCGCAGTCTAGCCATTAAAAAGTCTGATACTTCATCCGCAACGACCTGCACGAACATTTCGTCGTACACAATAAATCTCCGTTCTTTTTCTATTGCAGACGCCAGCGTCCGGCTTTCCCGGCGTCATGGACGACCTCATATTTTCTGGCGCCGGAAGTGGCTGCACCGCCGACGACGAGGACGAAGAATGCACGCCTATCTATGAACCCGGTTCCGGTAAGTGTAAGTAACATTTCCGTGGGCGTAAGTAATTCCTTCTGCACGCTTCCTCGCGGAGGAATTTCTTATACGCATTTCCACTCTGGTCTCGCACGTATCGATATTTTACGTACGTGCACATTACGTGATCGTTTTCTATGATCTTTTTGTGAATCGTTCGGAATTACCATAGATTGCGCAATATTTTGAAAAAAAAAGGAGTGCCTACTATTATTTCATACATTGCTACTGCATATGCACGGTATACGGCAATTGGTGCAGAAAGTGTAAAGGGTGATTCTACATGTCAGAATGAAACGAAAATCGCGAATTACGGAATTGTATTGAAGGCATCATTTTCAAAGTTGAGAGTTAGAAACGCCTGCAATCAAGCAGTCTAGGCAGTAAAAATACACAAAGACGTCGCCTGAAACAAATATAAGGCGTCTCACGGAAATTTTTAATAATTATAAATTTCGTTGAAAACTTAACAGAACATTCTTAAAAGCTTAAACTTTCGATTGCTACCAAACAATCGCAAGGTCAACGATACAATTATTGAAACAGAAACGTTATAAAAATTTCTATCTAACACGAGCCTCGTGGAATTGTAATTGATACTGAGAAGTTAATGATTTCTTATTTAGTTAAAAAAAAGAACATTTTCATAAACAATTGGTTGGTTATAGATTTTTTTACGGAGATGATCATAGCACAGAAGAAAAACGATATGTTCACGATCAAATGAAACCAAAAATTAAGATCAAATATGCAAACTTAGGTTTCAATGCGTTTGGTAGTATCTTCTACGCATGTCTGGTATGGGCGTCAACGTCAGTTGTTTTCCTTTAGTTTGTTCGACGAACTTTCCAATTATTTTTTTAAAAATTAAAAAAAAATAGTAAATGTTTTCCATTGTAGTATTTTGTAGTAGTTACAAGCATTAATCACTAAAATTAAATTGGTAAAATTGATAATAAGTATAGAGTACCATATGGAGCCTAGCGTTTCTCGTGAGCAATTAACGAACCTTCAATTATTAAGCTTTTACTGGATTTTTTAATCAACGCCAATGTACGGTCGGTACTGTCGTGACCTACGCTTACCACTTGTATGCAGCTTACCTGGTTTTGGTCGTTTCTGGCTACAAGATGTTTTTATATACTATTAATAATCTAAAAACGACGCCTCCAACACAGTTTCATAATTTTAAATTTTCGTCTTATTTTAACATATAAAATCACCCCTTAAATTTTCTGACACCAGTAACCGAATACCATGTATTGATTATGAGTACGTTGTGCACTGCTCGAAACTCTAATGAACAGCCTGAACAAAATATGTGTAAACAATCGCATGTGTATCGTACAGCAACTTTAATTTCAATAATATCACAAATTTAAATGAATGTATAGTGGAATATTTTTATATGAGACAGGGATTCACGACCTTATTTCGATCATATATCGAATATCAACCATGTGAAGAAAATGTCTGGTGTGAAAAAATTCCTAATTTGCACTGAATGTTTCTTTTTCAATTCTTGAATGTTTACGTAAATTTATGCTAAACCTTAAATCACTATGTAATTGTTCTGTTGTTTTTATATTATAAATATGGAGTTCGTTATTCCAAACGATATTTCAGAGTCAACAGAATAATAGAGTATAAAATGTATAGAGAAAACTATAAAATGGAATATGAAGTATTAATAGAATATAAAATCATAATTGGTTTTACTTCAAATATTGATAGTATTACCCGCAGAAAATATAATACCAATATCAAATGTAAAAAAATGTAGTTCCAGTTACAAAAGTTAAAGTAGCTCTAATATTGCCTACATGGTTATGGCTACGGATAAAAAAGTGATATTTTATTAACTTTTAAATCTTTTCATACCAAATGTCTTCCAATTAGTAAAATTTTCGCATACATAAGTATGCATATGTAAGTAGATAACAGAAAATATTGATATTAAAAAACGTGATGTGAAAATTATATCATTCGATAGATCATTTAATTTGGAGCAAAAAATGCCTTTACAATTCTTTGATAGGATTAACACTGTCCAAGTTATTACGAAGAACGTACTTTCTCGCAAGTACTCGATCGACGAATTATTCGTATATAAGGCGACTGAAAGCGCTATCTGCTTGTGTAATATGAAAGGAGAGATGTTTAGCACTCCCCTAGACAAGGATGGAACACACATAAAATGGTAAGGCACTTGTCGCCTTTGGCGGCACTTACCAAATTTTTTTATTACCAATTATTACAATCAAGATTATTATTTTTATAATTATTAAAAAGTACATAAAAGCATATCTTTCTTATATAACTTAATTTTACTATGCTTTATACGTACGAAATTATTTTATCTTGTTAAATATTATTTACTTTATTAAAATAAAACAAATAAAAAAATATTGCAAATAATTATTTGTTTGTTTTATGATAAAATTAAACACTAGCTTTACTAATATGAGATATGAAAATACACAAACAATTAATTCATTATAAGTAATTAACTCAAAATCGAATTGTTGTATATTTAACTCGCTTTTAAAAAATTGTACTCTATGCATTGTTTTATTGAAAGAAATAATCAATTTAGAAAAACTTTTTATTATAAACATGAATTAGTTGTTGCGAAGTGATTACATGATAACAAATGATTCATATCGTTATTAAGTCGCTCTTTCATTTTCGAGTTAATGATTATTGCATTAATCCGTTAGCTTCAGTAATAACATTTCAAACTGTAAAATCCTGGTTTCATTCTCGGCGTTATACAGTGCCATTATTTGCATTGTTAACAGCGACATAAAGGCTGTGTTCAGAATTGAACAAACATTCCCAGTTATTCAACCGAAACAAGTTAAAAGATGCGCAGTAATTTTCTCTCGTGACCCAGAAATCTGAATTAAATTGCAAATTATAATTATCTCGAGATTGAAAATGTATTCGTGCATTGCGTTTCATCAAGTCATTTTGATATGACATGGCTCATTAAAAGCGTTTCATTACTAACGAAAAATCATTAAACGTGGATTGTTCATTCAGAAATAAACAATTAACCAACACTTATTCGAATTAGAAATAGAAAACATAAATCGACATAAACATTTCATCAAAAATTTATACTTGTAATCACATTCTTATTTAAAATTTTTACTTAAAATCAATGTACTTAATAGAAGTTCCTATCAACCAATCACATTCAAATGAATATAATCTTCTGTAATCATTTAATCTAGAATATTTCGTAATTAATAATAACTTCCGAATAGCTAATAAATAAATTCTTATTTTAAATTTTTATTGTATATAATAATACTCAAAGTCAAATCACATCAATATAATAAATATTTGCGACCTGCGTGTGAACATATTATGTTAACTTTTTTAACGCAAAAACATTGTTAAAACATTTATCCAAATGTATAATCTCATCACTCACAATTACATAATGCACATAAAAGTAAAAATACACAAACTGATACCTACATCAAACAGCTGTTTATGTAAATATAAATTTTAATCAATTAGTTTATACATTGTCGTGTATCATTTATAGCTGCCAATGTGCCTAATTCAAACATTTATCAGCTTCTAACTAAACAAATAATAAATACAATATAAACAGAAGTCATATTGTACTATTTGTCAGTAGCAAATATTTATTTAAATACAATTACATTTTCATACGTCGAGTAATCAGGCCATTTATCTTGATTTCTCCGTTTTTGAATTGATCAATGTAAACATAACTTTGTGTCTCATCACAATCATAACGTCGTCACAATACGGCGTGGTGGGGCAAGAGGCAAAAGAAGGAACGTGTGTTGAGTACACGCACGCACGATCGGCTCACATATCGTATGGCATGCCACCTTTCCTTCTTCATGCTCGCCCGGTTATATCTTCGATTCATTTGCATATTCAGGATCCCCAACCAGTGTCCCCCCTTTCTCTTTCCCGTCGATCTCCTTGCACGGTCTGCCAGCCGGTTCGAAAATCTTCTCCAGCTGACTAAAAACTGAATTAATACGATCCCTTCGCACACTCTTTGTTGTCAGCACGATCGAAAGTCGAACCCCTACTTTTGCTAATATTCTTTGTTACACATGTTTATAAATTCATTTAACACGTTCGCTACCAGTCTGTGTATATTATTCTCCAATGACTAAATCAGTCTACTTTATTAGATAAAAACCGGATGTGTTTCACCATGTTCATCTATATTTTATATTATTCATTATTTCTATTTTATGCATTTTTTATGTCTAATCGAGAAGTTATATAAAAACATTCCGCTAAATAGAATGGTAGAATCCTAGCATGGTCTGTGACCAAAGTTTTAGAAACAATATTTTGGTAGAAAACGTGTTAATAATAGTAGGAAACATTTAGTGCAATAAAGTTAACATTAGGTGTACCTACCAATAAGTAGTCCACTATTTTTGGTGAAGCTCTGTATGTATGTGTTAGTTTAGAAATAATTTAAATACCTATCCTATTTGAACAATATTTGTGATTTGTTCGCATCGTCTTCCGGTATTTTAACTAAATAGTAGTAAGAAAGATATTGTGGATCTAAAATGTATTGCCGTCATAGTGGAACAATAGTGAATTACTTGTGGGTATGCCTAATACATATAACATGTAAATGTGTTTCCTTATGTTCCATTTAAACTCGCCATCGCCGATAGGCAACAGGTTATTTCAGACGCGTGACATTTTTACAATAAAAATACATTGTTCGTTATACGAGATTAATATAACACGAAAGCAATGTCAAGATATATTTTTTACGTGTATAGTAACCCTTTACGGAAGAACAGTTGGTAGTGAATAGTATAGGACTTTTTCTTCTAGGGTCTAAATTCTTCTTTATAGCGACTTTAATTGTATTAACTAAACAAAAATGATAAATGCATATAGTTATATACAATTTATTTATAAATTTCTAAAATACAAAAACGAACAACAATTAAAGACTACACGCAAATTGAAATACAAGTATTTAATTTTGTTTTTATGATAAGTTCCCATTTTTATTGTTTTTTTCGTGCGATTAAAACACTATGCAATTACCGTTTCGTGTTTACGAGACGTAAATATTTTCTACAGTTTTAAATTCGTTTTAGATACACAGCTATACCACGAAGAACACGGGTTTCTCTTGAACGTTGACTTGGTACAAAGATTTCCCAGTGTAATTACCTTTTGTGGCATTATTTCATCGTGCTTGAAATAATTTACATAGAAATACGTTAAGATGTGCACGGGAAAGTGTTTAACGTTGAACGGATAAGAACGACCACAGCTATTCGTCGTTTTGTAATAAAGTACGATCGTGAAAGTGTTAAGATAGCGGGTTTAATTGTATGAAATCACGCATGGCTTGTGCAAGAGTGGCGCTCACACAATGATCACGAACGATCATGTTGTTTCGTGCACGAGAACATTGACAAATTATTGTTTGTTTCCTTTTTGTTTGCATAGGGTTGCATTCTTGCGCTGTGTTTCGCCAAAAACCATATTAATTATTATAGAATACCTACACTCGAAAACACATAAATCGAAAATTCAAAATATTTTTAAATATAAAAACATTGACTGATATACTAATGTCTAAAATTGTTATAAAAATATAGTTTTAATTTTTTGTACAATCTGCACATGTATTAAATATGAATATCTATTTAACTGTAATATTGTTTAACCCATACACGGTTAAAGTAATATTTTAGTTATCCTTATTAATATTGATGAAGTCATATCAAAATACGATACCTTAAGTCTGTAGCAATTTATATATTATCTTTCATGAATTTTTGACTCGTTTTATAATTTTATTCTGAAAGTTTAACTGTTGGTCAAAACATCATTCTACGTCTTCATTATAAATGATACCTTAACTATAGATACACTACCACTCACAAGTATTTGTCATTTCATTGAAAAAGGTTTACTCTTCTTTATTCATCATTTCACTTTGTAAATTTCCAACAAATGATCATGAATGTTGCTTGCTCTAGTGTCCATATTGTAAAAAAACGTGTTCTTTTGAAGAAGTCACAGTTTTTAGTAAAGTGAATCTAGATGGACAAAACGTATGAGTGGTAGTGTATATGTATGCTACATATTCACTAAACGAGTAAATAGTTTTTACCAAATGAAAGAATAAAAAAGTAATACTAAAGGATACAATAAATACAAAATTATCCAACATTTCGACTTTACATCGTACATATTTGCTTTCCAAGATAAAGAAGATTGTATTTACGATCTGTGGATAGCGCGACAAAGCTTAAAGGTTAGAGTTATTTACGGTACCAACTGTACATAGGACGTACCTTCACACTTTATCTAAACTTGAAAAAAAACCAAACATCAATAAGCACATTCACGAGTACAAAAGCTGTTACGTAACATAATGGAACCTCCATGAACATTTTTAAACATCCTTGTTTTGGAAATGTTAGAAAATACTAGAATATCCTCCGAAACAATTAAAGTGCAATTTATTCAACTGCAATAATTTTGTATCCTGGAAATTAAAATCTAACTATCAGGTTCATATTAGTACAAATTACAATTAGCGTATCCAACTTTAAATATTATTATTAAAATATTGTCCACGAATAGAGGGGTTACTTTTCTACACCTTCGCACGATATGTGTAACCATATTCGAAACTTATCGAGCGCCTTCTTCAAAGACTCCGGTACATATTCCGAACATAATAATCCGTCGAATTTAATCGACACAGTCGAAGACATCGTTTTAAATATCAATTGAACGAGCATCGTGCCGGAATGACTCCAAACAAAAACGGAAAATCAACGGGGAATTGCCGACGAAATTGAGTTCAAAGGGAAACAAAATCGGCACGAAGTATCACGGCCAGAGAACAAAACGTTGCAATCAAACGTGCATTCTATCTCCATTATCATCCTCGACCACGCTCCCTCTCCCCCTGCTACCCTACCGGCAATATCCACATTTTCGTTTCGCGTTACACCGATGACGCAAACGCTGGAAACCGCGCAATCATACGGAAATTATACGAGCATCGCGTGGGCAGGGTACATATACGCAATTTCAATAATCACGATGCTCACTCATTCTCTCTCTTCCTTTTTCCCCCATGTTCCCAGACGACATAATAACGCCGGTTTACGTCGCCCCGACGAGGTCGCCGACGACGTTCAGACCGAAGCACCGGAACAACAACATCCAAGAACGTCCGTCCTGCGACGACGAGGAGGACTGCGAGGAAGGCTCCGGCGAACCGATCACCACCGAGGAAATTCTCGTCACGTCAGTCACCGGTCAGTTATCTTCTTTTTTATACTCTATCTTTTATCTTTTTCCTGTTTTTTTTCGCTGTCGAAACATACTCGATTTTCACGAGTCAACTCGCAGAACACGCGACGCCTGGTATTGATCTTCCGTGCACGGGTTTTCTCTCGTGCACTTCCTAGTACATGCTCGCCGTTCATGCGGGCGGAGTATTTCCAAAACTTGCATAGTTTGTCGGGAGTAGAAGAAAAATCTTTCGGGGGCGAATCGAACGCTTTCCCTGTGGTTACGACAGGATGGCATTTTCCGCTCAGGAGGGCTGATTTTTTGCTCGTGGATAAGGAAAAGAGAGGAAAGTTTGAACAAAATATAATAGGGAATTTGATTTTAGGGGAATTTCCTGTCACGTTGTTTGGTCTTCTATTGACGGGCTGATTTTTAGGTTATGAACATCAATGTTGTCGAAATTATAGATGAATCTAAGCTCTGGATTTTATGTATTTATATAGCATATTCGAACATGCAAAGAACAGAAGAAGATAGCAGCTTAATTAAAGTATAGTCAACTTTCTATTTTGTTCTACACCTACCGAAGTTACTGACAGGAGAAAATCTGTGAAGTTGCAAATTTGTTGAAAATGAATAGGTACGTATTTGTTTGGTGACTCACAGGATAAGTCCGATAGGAGCTGTAAAATCATTTTTTTTTATATTGCGAATTTGCAACAAATTCGAAGTATAATAACGATTTGAACTCTTTTAACGGAGATGTACAGTAGGAAAGCATTAATCTACAGATCTCTATTACCTGAAAGTATAAAACCAGGTCACGCTATTAACAGAGAAGGAAACTGTTCTACAAACATTTAATAAATCGTTGTAAAATAATGTTTATTGTTTTTATAATTATTTCTAATTTTATAATTATTTTTAATTTAATAATTATTTCTAATTTGGAAATACAAATAAAAGAGGTTGTCATTATTTAAACAAATTCGAATACATTGTTTAATTACCATTTGTTAACTATTATTTTTTTTTTATTATTATTTATCGGTCGTTAAACAAACATTCAGTGACATTTAATGACGTTCATTTTACAAAAAGACGAAACCAAAACTTGTTTCATATTCCTTTTGTACTTCATTGTAAATAAAACTAATCTATCTACAAATAAGAAATTATGCATGAATTATTGCGGAATTGTTAATAAAAATTTCGTATAAATAAAAAATTTAGTTGCTCCAATGAAAATCTTATTTTTGTTTATTATTTAAATGAAATATGCTCAGGATCAGTTGAACAATTTTTCTCTATTTAAACGAGCTCCTTAACATTTCTTCGCTATCGTACAGCATACAAATTTCCGTCGGAAGAAAGGAAACAATTACCAAGTTCCCTCGACCCAGTGTAAATTAACATTAAAGCAAAAAGTCCAGGTGGTTCCGCGACTGTTACCGAACACCCCATTTCGCACCTTGTCAAAATCTCGAATGCCCTCGAGTGAAATTCCAGCATCGCGCCGGGCAAACGCTACATTAATATTTATCGCAAAGTCAAATTACTCCGGGGTCCAGGCTCTTCCATCGCGTGCGCGCACGCGTTCTAATTGAAGCAAGAGACGTTCAAAATGTGAACGGGCAAGAAAGGGGGAGAAGAATGCGCGGAAGAGCTCGTTATGGAAATACTTGGCCCGTGGGCGTCCTCTTCATCTGCATATCCCTCCGACTTCGCCGCGTTGAAAGCTCCGCCAATCCCGACTGCTACTGGTTAAGTTAACCGTCACGAAAATAGCGGCTACCCCCTTCGACGCGACAGGGGATGCATGCAACTTCTTTTCAGTACCGGCGGCTCTTCACCGCAGAATACCGGTGTCTCCTCGCTCTTTGCTCCGTCGTTTACACAGCCGCGCCGTTTAATCGCGGTTAAAGTGATTCTCGCCCTTCCCAGACGACGAATAGAAACGTCTAAAGCCGGTACGAAAATCCCCTTTTTGGAACCCTCTCTTTCTCCCCCCGCCGTCTGGGTTGACCTTGCCTTTTCGTCTACCCTGTTACGCGGAATCTCTTTTTTGTCGGTTCTTTTCACTCGGAACACACTGTAGAACCCGCGATTATACGGACTGATCCGGCGATACGATGTTTCAGTGTGATTAACGCGGGAAATTCCAAACAGGGCGGATTTCAGACTTCCTGTTTTATAACTACTGAAATCAAAGGGGTGCTCTCGACGGAATTTATGTTGATTATACATTTTATATTTTAGGATATTGTGGTAAATTGTGTATTACTATTATGATGTAAAATTTAATGTAGTATACATTTGAACGCTGGTAGTGTTAACGTTTGCGATTTTGGTTTTTATACAGGAATGAATATTTATTATACGATGTTTGTATGGTGTGTTGTATAAATATTGTATAATGTCTATTCAAGGTTGGGTTTAATAGCGGCCCTATGTATTTTGCTGAACTTCACCGATTTTGAGACATTGTTTATTTGCCGTACATGGAGGAAGTCTTTCTGCGCTTGGGTCTCTTATATTGAATATATTGATAGCGATCATTCATTAAAAGCTTACTAACAATGCTTCGAAGTAAAGTTGAACAATGGAAATTTTTGTTACAATCGTGGAATCTGTAAAATTACAGTAAAAAGTGGATACGTGCTTCTTACCTTTTTTCGTACTTTTTCTCTTTATTTCTCACTTCAGAAAGTAATTTTAGGAAACAACAAGTTAGTTTTTTATCTTCTCTATTGTTACTAACACCGACAACAGAAGTATACCTTTTCCCAGTAATTAAAATGAACTTGTATATTTTACAAATTGAAAGTATAAAATCAAGTGGCGTTTTGCAGTAATTTTTCTTAATAATGAAACTTCCGAAAGACTAGTTTTGTATGTGTGTACACTCATTGTTTCCTAAGTAAATAGTTTCTGAAATAGTTAACTTGTTATAGCATCACGCTATTGATCAATGTATTTCCGATCGAAACGACTGTTTTACTGTTTAAAGACATTCCCTACTGTAGTTTCATTATATTTTAAGTCGCCAGACATTTCGATCGACAAATCCCCAACCACTAATGAACTTACACAGTCGACATACTTTAACTAGACCAACTGAGAATCGATTTTGAACGACGCGGAACGAGGTTTATATGGTCCGGGGGTTCAGCTTCGTGCACTGCATCGTGCACACAAAAAAAATATTCTATTCTCTACTACCACTGTCAGCGAATCTCATTCATTCACGTTTCTGAAGGTTAATTTTTAAAATATCAAGCATTTACGACCATAAAATATGATTTTTACTGATTTTCGAGTACACAAAGTGTAACAGAACGTGTCAAAAATAGAATTCTGTAAATTTATTTATGATCATGCTTTACTGGATTTGTCAAATACTAGGTCTGAAATTTTATCAGGCATAAATTTCTAGAGATTAGTAATTACTAAATGAGTTTGAAACTTCTCCGTTCGCTATAGCATAATGTTTAAATATAGCTCGAAACAAAACAAGAGATATAGTGCTTTTTTCCGATATGTTACTTTATTTTTTAGAAAATATTTTACAATAACATGTAATGTTTATTCAGATAACAAATTACAGTAACAATTCTCATAGATCGTTATAGGATGAATGTCAATATTTAGAATCAGCTCCGCCAATTTCAAAGCGTCTTACAATAAGTAACTCCTACTACGGCAGACTATGGTTTAGTTAAACACCTTTTTCATAAAATTTATAGTACAATTTACTGGATGATAATAAAAGTGGTGTTAATATTTCAGTGCTGCTGTAAAAAAATAACTTCCAAGATTAACCGTTTGGAAAAAGTCAATGAATTAATCTAATTCCACTATAGGTATTTCCGAAATGGTGTTACAATCCGAAAGAATACAATTCCACATGCAAAAATAAGTAAAAAATGCAGAATAACAATTTTTCGTACGATACTTCGTTTTCAAGATAATTACTTTCAAAATACCGCGTATGTATTCACAGTAACAATAAGTAGAAACAGAATGCAATGAACAGACGCGTCAGCCAAGACCTATTCAATTACTTGCGTTTTTCTCGAAAACGGAGCATCGTAATAAAAAATGTCATTCTACATTTTTAACTTATTTTCGCATGTAGAATCACATTCTTTCGGGTCGTGCCACCATTTCAGAAACATCCTGTATGAGACATTAATACAGTATAATAACATTTCCATATAATACGTCTAGTACAAGAAATAAATTTGTGTAATTTTCATTTTTATAAATTAGTGTCTAACAGTGTGAATTTGCATAAGGATCCACAGTCTGTTCACTACAAGCAACATACAGTTCTCAAAAAACTAAATTCTCATCCAAGAATTGCTTACGAAGTCCACACGTTGATATTACACATACGATTTCTTAATAATGAATTTTTTGGTATTATTAGATTTCTGTATGACATTGGTATTATTAGATTTTGAAAAATGTACACATATTCAAATCGAATTATCCAAATGTGAACGTTCATAACTAAAATGACAGAAACTGAATCATCTCGAAAACACTTTTCAGACACCCTGTGTAAACAGACCAATTGTCCAATCTGATCTACCATTGTGACCAGACGAACACAGTTCAATTGTACGAAAAAGATATTCCGCAAAAAATATTCAAAATTTACATAATCACCCACCGCCTAATAATCACCACCCCCTATCTTTCCCATCGGCCTCGATCACGAAGAGCCCCTCAGTGACAGACACCATTCTTCTCAAAAAAAAAAAAAAATTGAACGCTATCGCGCGAAAGTCAACGCCATCCTTCGTAAAAAAACAATGCAAGCGAGGCCATCAACAAACCCGAAACGCGAGAAAAGAGACCAATTAAATCCCAACGACACGACGCGTCAATTCTGCCCCTCCCCCCGCGTGAGTAAACGTATGTACGTCTCTGGAAGTGGCGGAACACGACTCCCTCCGGGTTGTCCTCGGCAACGTGGTGGCCTGCCCACGCATACGCTCTTCTCTCCATTCCCTGTTTTACCAAGCAGATTCCAGCTCGGTGACGTACACGACCGCCCGCGAGTACACGACCAGCCACATCAGCACGCAAACGTCTCCGGACTCGGCGTCGTCGACATCGACCCAGGACATCGTCACCGTCTCCGTCCAGTACAATGTGTCAACCACAGACCTCGAGAGCAGCCACGCCAGGTGAGTTTGTCAGTTCGCTCGCTCGGACGCCCTGCCGCGCGGCACACGCCGAAATTCACTCGGCCGACAGAAATTAACGTGGTGGTTGCTTGCGCGCGGCGGAGAGGGGTGGACCTCGTGTGTCTCCTCAAGACACGCCGCCACGCGAAATAACGGTGTTGTGTTCATGTCTCGGGGTGCTTGATTCACTCTTGCTACGCGAGATTTCGTGTTTCGAGCTTGATTTGTGGTTGGAATTTTGGTGGCATTTTTTTTTTATTTTAACACTTTACCGACCGGTAGCTGGTTAATAGACTTGAATATTTCAGTGCTTGTTAATATGATGGCTATTTAATTCACCCTTAGGTCAGGGTTAACCCTCGTGTGGGCAACGAGAATATTCACGGTTACTGAGCAATCGGAATACCTCTGTTCTAACAGATTAGATACACATAGAGAATTTTACTTTCATACTTGTCCGAAACTCTTAGTTTTCCCTTCCCATAATATACCAAGTGCTGTTTTAGACGAGAGCATAAAAAATTGTGAAAGGAAATTTAGAAAAGGGTAGGTGGGTACCCGGTTGCGTACACTAGGGTTAAAGAAAAAGTTGATACGTTTTTCTGTTAGAGTTCTTGCTATTTTTCGTGAATGTAATTATGCTACTGTGATTGAACTGTTCAGTAACAGTTTCTTGGCTGTTGGTCGTTGGATCTACTGAACCTATTAAATAATAGCCGGTTGGTAATGTGTTAAAGGGGAAATAAAGGCAGAGTTTTCGGTTTTTGGATGAACTTTGGATTTTTTGCGATTACTCGGAGTCGTGGAGAGCTGGCGGTAAGAGATAAAAAAAGCTGAGATGAACTATATTTGAGTTGAAATACATTTGAGAAATTTTAATTAATACACGTGTTTTATTTCGTTGTTGAGATTTATTTTGAGACTAAGATATAGGTTTCTACGATTTTGTGCATTGCCGAATCAAATTGTGCCGGAATGACTATGATGGTTACTATTCGTTATACCAAAGCAAGTAAAATTGTTTTTTTTTAATGGTTTTAATATTTTTTTGGTGGTTTTGAAATACCGCTGCAAATGTTTTCGTAGACTGTCATGTGGTACGTGCCAAAATTGATGATGAATTATGCACGTGTTTAGGGGGTTGAGGGTAACCAAACTGTAATTAAGCAGTCAGATTGGTTTTAGTGGTTTGATTAGTTAACCGTCCTAACGGATTCAGTCGGTCCGCTAAGCTAACTTGCAAAATTGATTCTACATTACAAATTCAAAACTGTCGCTTAACCGAAAATGGTTTCACATTAACATTAATTTCATCCTTCACACAATTAATTTAAATTTGGCCGATACAATAATGAAGTGTATTAAATTTTCCAAATGTGCTACTAAAACGAATCGATGGCTATTACATTTTGGGTTAATAAAATCTGGAAATCTTACATTTCTATTCAAATTAAATACATACAAATGCCCAGATCAGCGGAAAAGTTAATACTATCGTAACTTATAGTAAGATATTATAGATGCTGTGTAGAATGTAACTTATTCGAGGTATTTATTCATCCTTTAGTATCGTCGCTAATAACCGTGACATATAATTGATGCGACGTTAAAACTCTTAAAAAAAATTTCTTATTCTTTACATAGTTCTTACTTCCCTTCCATTTTAACATCATATTCCATATCATAATTATATTAAATGGTCCAATGAATTCTGTTTCACTATGTTTTACCAAAATCAATTTTTGTTTCCAAGAAAATCAAAAACCTAGTTTCATAATATTTATCAGATTAAACTATAATTTAAGCATTGTCACTAGTAAAAAAATACATACATTATCGAATCCGCCTCATCTAAAATAACAAAATTAACACTATGACAACCGAACAGTATCGCGAGTAACTTTCACCAGAGACCAGCTGTTTTTGTCAAGAACTAACAAAATACAGTATTTACCACGAATTTAAAAAATTCAATAACTTTGAATATAAGAAAAGTCCCAGCTGATACTCACAACGCCATCACGGCATCATCGGTCGGTTAAAGCGTATTTTTTTTGTAACCAGTATTCCGACAGCCTCACCCTTACTTATCATAAGGCTGCGGATTTTATGCATTCATAGGGCTGTATGAAATACGATAAAAGACAAAACTTTCATCGGATCCTACGAAATTACTATTTTATTCTGAACCCAATAGAATACTTAAGAGGAAAAATAAATTTCTACATTCGCTCCTGTCTTTATAAATTACTTTAGAAAATGTTATTTTGCATAAAAATCTGCAGTCTATCACCATCAACCCCCGTAACCTTTCATTATCTTTCATTTCCGAGCATACACTCACCGATCGTATTCTAATCGTTACAGTAGCGTCGTGACGCCAAGATCGACGACCGTGACGACCCAGACTACCACCACAGAGATGACGGACCCGCCTCCACCGCCGCCGCCGCCGATCTATCCGCCGATGCCAACGCCGCCAAAGAACAACAACAACAAAAGGATAACGAGCGAGGCGGCGGAGAACGCCGCGCTGATAATCGGCATCATAGCCGCCGCGTTGATCGCGATCGTTCTGATCATACTGATCATACTGAAGTTCAAGAACCGTCCGGAGACCAGCTACAAGGTCGACGAAACGAAGACCTTCTGCCAGGATCCGAACGCGGCGTTGCTGGGCGCGGCCGGTTCTGGCCAGGCGTTCAACGGGGCCCTGAAGAACGGCGCGAACAACAGCAAAACCAACAAGAAACGTGAATTGATAGACATCAAGGAGTGGTATGTGTAGAGACGTGGTGGTCTGGTCCTCAAGATACCATGCATCCGCTTAAACTGCACACGTGCTTGAATCTCGGTGTCATGTGTGTCCCGCGTGATTGAGTCACGAACTGTAACGAACGAGTGTGAGCCTCTTCTATATAGATTCTTCGTTGGTGCTAAGGGACAAACAAAAACTTGGTTTAGATGCGTCTTTTTGGTTGTACCGATCGATATAAAGAACAGTGGTTCCTTTTGCGGGGTGAACTGGTGGACAGTGGTTCGGATACTCGAACAGATTATGCACTGAGTTCAGGTGTGTGTATATGTGTGTATGTGTGTCGTAATAGACAAGCATTCCGATGGAGTATAGTAGTATACTCTGCTGTTTAGAGGTTATGATCGTCTTTGTTCAATCGATCTCGAGCCTCCCAAGAGGACACACGGGCAGGAACGACTGAAGACACAAGCATATCCGGAATGTCCTCGTGTCGATGAGGAAACTCCGTCGACACTGACGGATTCCATCGACGGTGTGCACATCCAAGAGTAGCGACGACAACAACGAGGTACAGGAATAGTCAACGTCGAGCACGATGTTCTAGACATCGTGTATATCTGAAAAAAGAAAACAAGCCAAGACTGATATCACGTTAACCGAGTATGAGATAGTAGAGAGAGAGAAAGAAACGAATCCAGGTGTCGAGGAGCTGATTGCTAATCATTCGCGAAGACCTAAGTCCTCTGAAGTCCGGTGTACGGGGAATGATTGTGTCGATTAGAGACGCGTCTGAGCGCCGGCGGGGGGGAAGTAGGGTATTTCGTTGTCACTTCGTTGGACCGACGCTCGAACATACTTCCAGCACTTTGCCGAGCGTGTAGGCGTCGAGTGATGCCCATTGATCCGGGAACCCTTGGAATACGGTCCGCGCGCACCCTTCTGGGCGACTTCCGCATTCCCGCGTAGACACTTGTCGAGTCCACACTCTTCTTCCTTGTTGCTATATTGTTAGTTGTGTATTATATTTATTGTATATGAAAGATTTATTATGTACCATACGACATTCGCGTGCATGGTCCTTCTTTAGATCACGTCGATAGGCTCTGTAACCCTCGATGGAACATCGCCACGAACGAGTCGGGTTGAGGGGGTTGGAACCCAGTTCAGCGCCGTATTTCGAGGGCCGGAACCTTGCTTTTGTTCGCAACAAGTCTCATAGTCCAGTATATTATATAGACGAAATGGAGAAAGTGTTGGAATTAATGAAGAAGCGGAAAGGACGAAAGTATCGATACGAACGATCCTATCTAGCGATTAATGAACTTATTGTTGTATAGAAAAATGGAATAAGAAGTATATATATGATATTTATCGATTATGTTATGCGTGTAAATTGTTTATTAAATTATATAGATTTTATTAACGAAAGAACGTAAGCGCGCGTGTAAGTGTACGAATGCGTGGATGCGTGTGTAATGTGAATATGGACCCGTGTTGTTTTGTTTGAAAAGCGACTCGAGTTAACGGTCGATGTATCGATACCGCGAGTTGACTCGTAAAAAAAAATCTGACGAATAAGTTTTAAGCATAGATGTATAATGCGTATATGCGTATTATACGTCTATGGGCGGGATTCATAGTCGTTGCTTATTCTTAAGCAAATGCTTAAGTCCCCAGTTATAAATGTGTAGTCCATACGTATGCACGTATACATTCATAACTAGGAACTTAAGCATTTGCTTAAGAATAACTAGTGACTATGAATCCCGGCCTATGATTTCATAGTGACTCGGAGGACATTGTCAACATAGCGACGACACCACCATGTGCAGAGGTGGTTATACGTATACACAGGGTGTGAGTGCACTATTTGCCAAAAGAAAACGAGTCGAGCGACGTTTCACCGGTGACCCTTTGACGTCCGATATTCTATTTCAGTTGGCCTCAATATTACGTTTTTAGAATCTATGTTTAATGGCGTTGCACCTATTTATTTACTCGTTTTGAACCTCTGTGATATTATTTTGATACTCATTTTATAATTTTCTTTTTGTACGTTTTTGATATTTTTTTTCCGTATTTCTGTGATACTTATTCAAGCGAGTCGATTTTTAGAAAATTTAAACGACGTTTTTGTTCTCGAAATGTCTGCACACAAATGACAAGAAATTGGAACCTCGATGAGAACCCTGAAGCAAAGGGCCCCAAAGGGTTAATTATACTGGCGCTGAGTACAGGATATTATTGGGATATCAGTTTCTATCAAACTCTATTCCCTCCTACATTAGGAATGCCCTGGAAGATTCCTTCGAGCCATTCGTGAAGGCTTATTACCGATAAAGTACGGATGAGCTTGCATTAAATAAGAGCTTCCCCAAACGCGACGAAAGTAATCATCAGCGGAAGTATATGCGTACATGTATATTTTCGTATTGTCCTGCTCGATGATTCCTGGTTTTCAGAACGTGTGTCTTGACTAGTGCTAGCTTTTTATCGCTCAGCTACATTCACACTTTTTTTATCTAATATGATATAACTTTAGAATAAATTAACGATGGAGTTTGATCGAGTACCAAAACTTTTAACACTTTATTGACTGAATATATGGTGTGGTCCGGATTCGTGTATTGCGGCACTTGTCGACTTGAAAATTTGATTCTTTAGTAAACACAGATTTAAGTGGAACTATTATAATGACCGTAACAGCTATCCTCGAGTATTACTCTCGTGTGAACATGTAACGTTAATCTATTTAAATCGCCATGACGTGAAAACTGGAAGTACAAGACTCAAAGAAATTAGTATCAGATTACTGTGCATTTAATGGTCAATCTTTTGGTAACATTTGATATTATACTGGGTTGTCTTAACCTGTTAACCGAGTGACTTCGCGACCATGAATACTCACATAGACATGGATAACCCTCTATAAGCCAAATTAATTTTCATTGTCCAAAAAATTTGGTATCTGTATATACTGTTTACTACTGACCAGTTAAACGCGTGAAACTTAAATGTTCAACTTTAAAGGTTTGAATATTTTAAAAATAGATTTTTGACGTTAAGGTCACAGTAAACAGTAATGCATTTGCAAATGATTAGCCGTATTGTAATTTATAAGTTACATTGAACAACTATGACTATTCTCAGTTGCTTAATAATGGTATATGACTTTGAACTGGGCATTAGAGGGATAAAAATGGACAAAGACAATTTGAAGTGACTTGCTACGCAATATTCCTGAGTACATTGTATGTTACAATGCTACGCAAATTAGAATATGATTACATGTTGTAATCATTAGATAAAAAAATCAAAATGCAAGATTATTGGAAGATACAATTGAATATAAATGACAAGTTACATCGTCTTCCTCGGTTAACAGATTAAAATTGATCGTGGACTCTTTTACTTCTGCAATTATGAGACTGGTATCTAACAAAATAATACTTTAGCCAGCTTTTTTCATTATTTATTTCACTAACAAGCGTCCTGTTCAAATCTGTCAACTACTTTATTCGCAAAATGTGATTCAAATGCAAAGAAGCCATTACAGTTGAGTTATTGATTTTATGAAATAAATCTTATCTTATCCATCACTTTTAAAGTCACATTTATGGTCAAGCGATCAGAAGAAAGCGGAAAAGGAGTATTAAATGTGATCCAGTATCAAATATTACGTTTTTATTACTACTATGTGCTAAGTCCCAGACAACCTATAATAATAATACAATATTTAAAAAAGTAATAGTCAAGATGATGTCACTAACACTAATCCAGACATGGATTACTGAAGACATACTAGAAAGTATCGTTGTCAAGTTTATTAATTGCATACAAGAAATAAATCATAAAAAATTAATCTAAACTTCACAATACTTTGTAATTTTCATCTTTCGACGATTAATGTATTAGAGATAATCGTATAAAGTGCTGGCACTAGTCGAGACTGTAGGCTAAAATCAGTTTCGTGGGGTGGAAAAAAATCCTCGAATCTAAATTAGGTTGCAAACTATTACAACCGTTATAATTATTATTGCACAAACGATTTTTTGAGTCACTTGAATTCCTGTTAGAAGTTCGTTGCATGGGCCGATTCGTCAAATGACTATTTCTCGTAAATGAAACGGTCTCTGAAAAAGGTAGAAAACTCTTCGCAAAAACTTTCGTGCAAACGAATATCCAAGCGTCGAACAAAATTTTTCTTTAACGTTCGATACACATCGATGGGCCTTTTGTAATGGAAGCATCAGCCAAACTAACCGAAAGGGACCCGTTCCAAGAAAGTCTTGAAGTATATTTAATTCAGAAAAGATACACGATTCTTACGATAATTTCCATTAAATTTTCAGGTCTTGACACCCATTCCTAGAACGATTCGCTGATCGTAAACGCAACGATACTGTATGTGTTCGCGAATGAACGAAAGGGAGAAAGAGAGAGAGAGAAATAGAGAGAATGTGAATATGACGTTCTGTCGAGGGAACCATTACCTCTAAGGGTGAAAGAGAAACGTCCGTTTGTTGAAAGCTTTTCAACACTTTGTAGAATGCTTAATGCGTCAGGGACCCCTTGTCGGTACGCCATTTTCTGTAAAACCGGCGTTCCTCGAACCAAAAAGCTAGTCAATGAGCACTTTGTGTGAAGATAAAAAAGGAAGACAAATGAACACTAGACTGTTTAGCTTTAATTTCATTGTATTCATATTACAAATGTGAATCTCTTCGTTAATGTTTCTTATGGAATAAAAGATTAGGTTCGATAAAGATTAAATTTGAGGAAGAATGACGCAAAAATAAGGAATTTCGCGTTAGTGAATCATATTTCGAATTGTGGGTCTCGACATTCTGTTCAAAATACAATTAATATTGCTTATTTACTTTGGAAGCGAATGATTTGAAGTTTCTAAATTATTTAAATCTTGAAGTTTCTACGATCGAATATTTGAGATTCTTATATCAACTATTTTTCCTGTTTTAAAAATGCAGAATGTGCAAAATTGGTCCTGAACAAAATAAATGACGGAACAT